AATTTAATCTTACAATAGTCGCTTTCTATGATGATTTTAATTGTATTTTATATCATATTTTCTTTTGCTTACTGCTATATGTCTGGCCTAGTGAATATTTTAATTTATTTATTTAATTACATAAGATCTTCAACTAAAGATGTGCACAATACATGCCATGAAAATAATACAAAATTTTAGGTTAAGTAAGTACACTCTTTCAATTAAAGGAAAATACTAGATACAATACTACAGCAACATCATATCTGTAACGAAATGTGTCTGCAGTCTCGCTACTTACCAAATAACTCAACAATGTCTTAGTAAAACGTCTCACACAGTTACTTAGTCTTCATAACTTAAGCCCTAAATCCAGTGACAGATGATCCTTAGATCAACTACCTAGCATGACAGCAACTCCAAAACATTACGCCAGTTGTCAGTAATTGAGATGAAAACTTTTATAACAACACAATTTGTCCTGTTTATTCCATCTGTCAAGATCTTACAGGGATCCGAAGTTTGTCAAAGTTATCTCTCATAGTCATGTCTTCAACTTGTCTCAACTTTATGAGATGTTCTTCATATTTTTCTCAAAGTTTTTTATCTTAAATCTTCAGATATAAATGTAGGGCTAAGTAACTTGAGTTTTAGGATTAAACTTCTTTTAGACATGACTGTTTTTTGAGTTGGAATTTTATTTTGAATCTACTTTTTAGTTATTTATATTAAGTTTAGCTAAACTTATCCCTCGTTCTTAAGTGAACTGAATGAATACGCAAGTGACAAATATTGAATGTGACACTACAAATTACATTAAAAAAATAGCTAATAATAATGAACAAAAAAACCACGTAACTGTAACGAAACACCCACTATATTTTCAATAATTTAATGACATTTTTAAACGACGTGGCGGAACAAACGTTAAGAAGATAAAACAATAACTAAAACCTATGTATACTTATATACAAATGAATAAATCTACAAAAAATGTAAGCACACCACACCACATCCGTAGTCACGGTCAATCAAGGGGTATGTTGGACCGTGTAACTTACTTGAAACGTGTTAGAAATCCAGATTGATTCCAATTCCGAATCGAACCCGCCTTTGTTTATCTATCAGGGTACTTCCGACGAGACGTAACACGCGGATCTCATTTTGCGGCTCATAAAATAGAATATCTCTTTGGAAAGTGAAACCCCCGCAGCGCTGGGAGTCAACAAAAATTTTCAACTCAGAACCGTTGTGGTAATTTTTGTGCATTGCCAAACTGACCGTGGTCTGCCCGCCTCGGCAACCCTCGGTTATTATCGTCGCTACTCGCAAATCTGGTGAGAACTGTTTGTAAAGACACACTTGGAAGCCAATTTTGCTAGCTGTTAAGGATAATGTGAAGCTGGGCCTGTCATACCTAGCACTGATCGAGACCTCCGGCGTCGGTGGGTACGTTAACGGCTTGAATCCAATCTCGGTTCCAAAACACACATCCGGGAGAATTTTGTACATCCACTGCGTCACCATACGTAATGTGTTCGGGTCCACATCTCTTACAGAACACGAAACTGATCCAACAGACTTTTCATTCTCCTTCTCAAGCACAACCTCTGTTTCTGACGACACCAAATCCCTGATTCTAGACATCAGACGCATCTGATACCCTCCGTCAAAGCTATCTTTGTACGTAGCCGTTGCAGAACCAGACGAGTCTATCAGCAACCCTTCCTCGGTGCTCTTCGGTTCCATTTCCTTGTGAATGAGCTGGGAGTAACACCTGTAGGATTCCCTTGTCTTCCCGTAGCTGTACTGTTGAACCAGTTTCACTTTATCGAGGATCTCTCTGAGAACAATGAGGCGTGCGCCGATGAAGCACTTTGGGAAAGTACCTTTCGCCTCAGCGTGAATGTCACACAGCTTTGTGGTTCTGTATCGCTTTGGTTCGACCACTATGATCTCCTTCTTCTTTGGCAGTAATCGCTGCAGGGAGGAGACGAAGCTGCTGACTTCCTCCTTGATCTTATCCTCGTTTATGTCCATTGTAGTCTAATTTATATATTTTATTTTATTTATTGGATAACAGGTCAGACGTCATTGACCTGTCTCGTTTTATTTTTGTATCGCTGAGCGTTGACGACGTGTCCGGCCAGTCGCACGCTGCAAGGAGTTTGTAGTATTTTTAGTTGTCTTTGAGATTATATTTGACACTTCCCTTAGTGCGCATGTGTTTACTTAGTACTGTTCGGATACTGCTCCCTGATTGCTAATATTACTGGCTATATTATTGGCAACTCTACTGAAATAATAACAGATTCTAAAATTGAGCAGCAGTATAACCATAATTTCTTAAATAAAACTAAGTAAATCTGTTTTCAATTTGACAATATACGCCACCTTAAAATGCACTAAACAGGAACAATACTTCCTCTAAAGTTTCAAAATACCACAAAAACAATACACAAAATATTCAATACCGAATTTAAGACTTAATTTAAAAGGCGGCATGAGTTCGTGTCTCCAAGTGTTTAATAAAGAGGCCGTCAATCCGCCGACTGTCCATTCATGGGCCATTCATTCCCATTCATTGATGACATAGATATTTATGCGACCATGACTCTTGTAACAATACAATCTACGATTATTATTGATGGGTATGTTTCAAGGGTGTTTATATTAGAACTTATTATTATTAGCTTATTAAAATGTTATTGATATATATGACATATCGTAGATTTCGATTTTAGTTCATATGTAGTTAAAAAAAGAGGTTTTGTGTTGGGAATTTTCACAGTTACACGTTTTTTACCTATTTTTATGGAATAGGCCGGTACACGAGCAGACGGATCACCTGATGGTAAGCAATCGCCGTCGCTCATGGACACCTGAAACACCAAAGGTGTTACAAGTGCGTTACTGGCCTTTAGGAGATTAGAAATTTGAGGATTGTTAGGGAATCGGGGATTGGGGAGGGGGTAACCAGGCCTTTTTATCGTTATCTTGATCATCAACATTTTTTGAAGCGTTTGTTAATGAAGCGACTGGATCTTACCCCTGGAACGCGTTAAAAAATTTCAGATACACACATGCATACTTGCATTCACATCATTGCATATTGAAGGATTAATCAATAAATGGCGATGGCTATGTTTCTCCTATGTTCTTAGAAAAGTACAAAAATGGGTATATTATGTCACAACATCATGAATAGAAAGACGTCCACTGCCTTATATAGATGTTTAATCCTTTTAATTTACCCAATTTGTTACATTGTACAGTGGCATTAAGTGCCGTAATGTTCACCTTTGCCTACACCTTCGGGAATAAAATGCGTTAGTGATGTTATGTAATTTACCCAATAAAGATAAATATTATGATGTATTATTGATTTTCTCTCGTGCCACCCGAGCATCGAATCTTTTAACTTCAACATTTAAACCCTTTTAGTAAATTGGTATAGGTAAATGTGACAGACGGTCGAATGGACCGATATAGGTTCAACCCCAATTTGTTTGATGAAGTAAAAGCTTTTGTGCGATTGTTTGTTTTCGGAAATTGTACCTTAGGTTTTAAAGGTTAAGTGATTGTAGAATTGTCTTAGGTCGGGCTAGACGTTTAGGACTTCAATCTTATGATATTCGTGACCTTTTCGTTCTGATAAACAAAATATGCAAATCTATTACTTTGTGGTACCACTTCTAAATAGAAGGATTTTGTGGTGAAATAAATATACTATACGAATATAATATACTACAGCAAACGAGCAGACGGATCACCTGATGGTAAGTCATCGGCATCGCTCATGGACACCAGGAACACCAGGGATGTTACAAGTGCTTTACCGGCCTTTTGGGGATTAAGAATTTGTGGATTATTGGGGATTCGGAGATTAGAGAGATAGGGAGGAATTGGGCGGTAATCTCACTCACACGAAAAACACAACGTAAGTGCTGTTTCACGTCGGTTTCTGTGAGGCCGTGATAACACTCCAGTCGAGCCGGCCCATTCATGCCGAAGCATGGCTCTCCCGCACTTAATTTAAGATACAGATTCATTTTACATAATGTTAATTGTCATTTGCCAATATTTTAATTTTTATTGTACTTAAGGTTTTTGGAATGGACTCTACCGATTTATATTAGCCGCGGAGGACTTGACGGGTTACCGGGGCTCCGGCTCAAAGGGCAGGAGTAGGAACGCGGTGGTTTTTGTCAGTTAGAGTCTGACACTCCCTCTCGCCTCACCCAGGTAGGAGCAGTCATTCGATGAAAAAAGGACAGTTAAGTGTGACCACAACACTGTTTACTTGCTATTGTTAGTGCTAGGACCGTGCGAGACTTTGCCTCACCATTTCTTTTCTAATTACCTATTTTCTGACAGTTTGAGTATTTGTGCGACCCACGCAAATGTTCTTTAGGTTGGTATTGTTCGTCGAATCAGTCAGCCTCACCTGTTAATTGAGCTGACTGTAAACCGACACATGCGTACTGCCTTCAGAGCGGGTCCGCTCAAACTTTTGTGGTTCTTTCCTCAAAAGACCACTACAGAAAGAACTGGCACGGTTCTCACACATAATCATTCAATTATACATATTGTCTGGACTTTAAAAGAGACAGACCTCTGAGTTTGTTTCGGCATTTCTTCTCAGAGTAGTCAGTTAGGAAATGTCGACCTCATCGTTCTCTTGATAAAATTGACGTGTAAAAGTGCTGCCTTGTAGCATATTTGCAGAAATAAATTTACTTGTTTCACTTGCTTTAAGTAAATATTAAACTAGCTGTTGCCCGCGACTTCGTCATGTAGAATGTGATTCCTATTTTATACCATGAGTACATTTAATCGGGATAAAAAGTCCTATCACCTAAGTCAGCCCAAACCATGCCTGTATACTAAATTTCATTAAAATTCTTTCCGTAGTTTCCAAACAAAGAAACTTTCTCATTTATAATATTAAATGTAATAAAGAATCCTAGTGTGAGGTCCAGTGCACAATAAAACTGTAGTCTTTTCTGAAATACACTTTATTCTTAAAATATGCCGAAATCTTAAGCCCAATTATTTCACAATCGCAGTTAAAACTATTCTAAGTAAAGGTTATTGTAACAGTTTGTTTTTAACCGAACCCAAGTAAAATAAACGATGGTAGCGGATACCATAAATATAAGGCGTGAATTCCTCGACGTGTTCCCGGTTCGATACCCGAGTAGGTCAATATTTATTGCTTGCCATGTGCCGTTTCATTCTCACTCCTATTTATTAGTGAGTGCTGAAAAGTTCGTGTTTTCAGTGGTATTTGTTTTATTTTCATTAACGGAAATGTGGAAATTGGAGTTTGTTTTTAGATAGATGAGTCTAGGAAGGGCTAGGCAGATGAGCACATCTTATCTTATAAGTCAAACTCATTATTTTATTAAGCTAAATACGTCTTCAGACCCGGGTCTTCTACGTTCGACGTGGAGGACTAAGGGGGAGGCCTTTGTCCAGGAGTGGACGTCTTCCGGCAGTTGATAATGAAATACGTGTTAACTTCGGTTCGACACTTTAAGCGTTCCTAATTAACTACGGTTCCCATTTTGGGTAAATTATCATTGCGTTTTTATGGAATTAACTATATCATTGTAAGCAATCGATGTCGCTCACGGACAAATTGGGGTATTTTCAAAATTTTCATTGGCAGAACTTTAATATTAATATCCTAGTGGGCAAAACGACATTAAGAGACTTCATATATTATAATTTTCGTGAGACATACTAAATTGCGCGGTGACTGTAGAGTATCAGCGGGTCGCGAGTATGGTTTGTAACTAGTCGAGTTCCTCGTTAAACAGTTACTTGCGTCAGCCGAAAATATAATAATTAATTAATATCTACATACTTCTTTCTGTCAACCCCTCCGGATAGTGAAAAACTATAGCATATTTTAGAAATGAATTCAGTCGTCCAAAATTTCATCATAATAAATAAAAATTTGTTTATTAAGTACGTTTATAAAAATCTTCAACCTCCTCTTCTTGATGTCGGTTTATTTAATATACTAAAACCTTATTTTAGATGTAACAAACACTTTTATGAAAACGGCATCAAAATCGGTCCTGCCAATCGCGAGACATTAACATAATATCACGCCTTTTATCCCCGAAGGGGTAGGTAGAGGTGCACATTATGCCACTGTATGTACAATGTAACACCCACTTTTGAATATTTATGTTATGTGTCCCATGTAATAGGAGGTGAGCCTATTGTCATATACTGGGCACAATTCCAGGACTCCGTGCTACTACTGAGAATTTTTAAAGAACCCAATAATACTTTGCCCGATCCGGGAATCGAACCCGAAACCCCTTGCCCGGCAGTCACACTTGCGACCACTCGGCCAACGAGGCAGTCGTACATATAAACATAAATACATACATTCTGAAACCTTAAAATATCTGAAGTCGGTTAACAAAACTCCCTCAAAGGTATTCAAAACACATAATCTACACTTCAGATATAACAAATGTTTATAAATTATGACTGGCATACCCTTCCGGGTTCGACACCCGGGTCAAACATTGTTTACAGTTTCAGATCGCTTCAGTTACTATACGTATAACATTAAACAGATGTGTTAGATGGTAACCCGACTGTGTGTAAAATGTGTAATGAGTTTTACTAAAACAGTTTAGCTGCGAATTGATGTTAAAAATGATTTTTTTAAAGCTGTTATGTTACGAAATGTTTCTGATAACTATGATACGAGCGATTTTAGTGTAATCGCGTACAAGATACAAGCCGTTTTTAGTGGCAGGGTGGCCATATTTTTTTTAAGGGTGTAAAATCATCGAATGACTGACTGCTCCCACCTGGGTGAGGCGAGAGGGAGTGTCAGACTCTTACTGACTAAAAACCACCCCGTTCCTTCTCCTGCACGTCGAGCCGGAGCCCCGGTTACCCGTTAGGTTCTCCGCGACCGTTAGGTCACAAAGTATAAGTAATGTAGTAACACAATACCAGCAACAATTCACTACCTAGCAGTGGTGGTCGTAGCTGAAAATCTACTAAGTTAAATCAAAACTCTCAAACTGTGTGAGAGAGCCATGCTTCGGCACGAATGGGCCGGCTTGACCGCAGTGATACCACGGCCTCACAGAAAACCGCCGTTAAATACCTACCTACCATTATGTACATATCTTTCTTTCTTTCTTTTTTATAAAAAACCTGGGCTTATAATGTCTAATATATAAGTTTGAAATCGCCAACCCGCATTGAGTAAGCGTGGTGATTAATGTTCAAACCTTTTCCGTGCGAGAAGAAGCCTTTGGTCAGCCGTGGAGCACTTATAGGCTGTTGATGATGATAATGATAGTCTCTTGTCATACCCGCGGAAAGAAAAGCGGTGATAACAAATAGATTCTACAGTCTGCCATCACCACAATGAAGTAGTACTTCACTTATAAACCCAATTAAGTTATTAGCTTAACAACAGCTTTAGAAAACAATCGTAATTAATAATTCGGAATCTGTATTAAGTTGATGCCCAAAACCAAGTTGTTAGGACCTTCAACTTAAAGACCGGATTTCAGGAAAGTTATTAAGTGCTACCCTTAAGTTTCAGTTGAAATTTCAGATTGAAGACTCATTTAGTTTTCACAATTAGCCTGAGCTTTTGAAATTAGTTATTAATTTTCATATTTTTTGGAATTTACGAATAGTTTCGGCTTTAATTCGCTAAGGGGTAGATAGTCATAGTATTTATTTGTCATTTTCACTAGTTTTCTGTTGTTTTCTGAATACTCTTAATAATCTACAGTCAGCACCATTATTTACTATGCAGCTATGAAAATAACGATGGACGCAGTACAGAGACAGTAGCTATTATTCTAATAATTTATAAAAGTTTTTAATCAAGCCACATCTTCTGTAACCATTGGTCGGTTCAGTCTTCTGTAACCAATGGTTACTGTCTTTGTACCGAATCATCATTTATTCATTATTTCAATCATTTATTTTCTTACGTGCGTACTAAATAGCTTTTTTATGGGTTAAGTCGGTTAATAAGCATACGGATCACCTGATGGTAAGCAATCGGCGTCACCAATGTACACCTGGAACACCAGAGGCGTTACAAGTGCGTTACTGACCTTTTGGGATTAGAATTTGAGGATTGGGACTCAGGTATTAGGAAAGGGGGAGGGGTAATAACGCCTCCGGTAAGTACCACAACGCAAGCGTTGTTCCACGTTGGTCTTTTGTGAGGCCGTGGTATCACTCCGGTCGAACCGGCCCATTCGTGCCGAAGCATGGCTCTCCCACACTTAAAATAACATTGAATATCAATGGTAACTGTGACATGAAAATGGTTGAAATGCTAAAAAAGGCTCACCCTCTGTTACAAAGCTGAAAAGGTGACGGTCAAAAGTTGATGTTATACTGTATAACATAAACATAACATCACGCCTTTTATCCCCGAAGGGGTAGGCAGAGGTGCACATTAAACCACTGTATAATGTAACACCCACTTTTCACTATTTATGTTATGAGTCCCATGTAATAGGGGGTGAGCCTATTGCCATATACCGGGCACAATTCCAGACTTCGTGCTACTACTGAGAATATTTAAAAACCCAGTAATACTTTGCCTCGTTGGCCGAGTGGTCGTAAGTGCGACTGCTGGGCAAGGTGTCTCGGGTTCGATTCCCGGGTCGGGCAAATACTGTATAAGTATATACAATTAATGTACACTATTGGCAAACTAAGAGGAAATAAAAAAAACATGTTACGTACACTATAAATAAATTTCTGGGCACAAAATACACTGAAACGTTCAATACTTATTTCAACAACAAAACGTTTGATATTTTCTATTATGTACAAAAACGTTGAAAGGATTGCATTTTTATATTTTAAATTCCATTTTCCGACGTCAGCGTTATAAAGCCGAGCAAGAAATAAGTACAAAACGAAATAACTTAACTTGTGTACAAAGCTGAAATATTACTTTTTGCTCTTCGATACTGAATTGCCTTTTAACCAACACAGCTATGCATCTATAGGGCAGGAGCAGGGTTAATGAGCAATACAATATAGGACTAGAATCTTGAAATGGTTAAGTGGTGAACTTTTATTTTTGTACAGTGAACAGGCATAGGATTGCAACAATCTTTTAAAAAGGTTTTGGCTAGGTTTTAGAAGTAGAGGTATGTAGTCTGAAATGGTATCTGATGATTGGTTATAGGTTTGCTCCGTAATAATAAGTAAGGGACGAATTCTAATGGGGCAGTTGCCAGGGAACCGAAATTAAAAATCTAATTCATCCGTCAGTAACATTATTATTATTAGTACTTAAATTTTCTTTAAAAAGTAGTCTATTGTAAACTGACCCTAATAATTCCTATCTGTTTCATATCTGTAACTTACAATTATTTTGAATATGATCCAGATAATGAAAAAATATTAGACACGTATTTTTTTATTTTCTCGTAAAAAGTTACAACTTAAATAAAATGGAGTTAAGTTTAGGAGTGGGAGGTCGTTACATCACAACGTGCTACATTTTGTAGAACGCTGTGACGCGAGTGAAACAAAGCAAGCGTTCTTTCACGTCGGTTTTCTATGAGGCCGTGGTATCACTCCAGTCGAGCCGGCCCATTCGCACCGAAGCATGGCTCTCCCACACTTAGAAAGTAAAACACATTACATATTAACTTTAAAACACAAAACCACACTAACAAAGCTTGAAATTAAACTCAAGAATATTAACTGTAGCATCACAAAGAGACCTCTTAACCAAGGCACATGACTAACACAGATAATTGAATTAACTGTAACGTATCTTCTCGCAAATTAACTACTGAAAGCCGCCGTTGTTACTCATTGCTTATTAACGATATTGTGTCGAAAACATCGTGGTTATGTAATGAAGGAATATTACTTAGATTGACTAAATATCACGGTTTGTTGCTGGTAGTTTTATTGAGAGATTTCTTTTTAAGGGGGGAAAATCATCGAATGACTGCTCCCGCCTGGGTGAGGCGAGAGGGAGTGTCAGACTCTTACTGACTAAAAACCACCCCGTTCCTTCTCCTGCACGTCGAGCTGGAGCCCCGGTAACCCGTTAAGTTCTCCGCGACTTTACTGAGAGATAGATGAGACTATATCTTAGACGTTTACGATTTTTCGAAATTTTCTCGTTGGTAGAACAGATTCTCTCATTGGTTGGCTTACTGGAGCCGGCCAATCAGAGCGCTGAACGCCGTCGATACTTTTACGTTAAAAATGCGATAGTTATTCGTGGTTAGCGCTCTGGTTTTGGGATTGTGTCTAGTGTATGGTAATAGGGACATTTTCTTTTACATGAGTCCTATAACTTAAGTGCTAAAAAGTGGATGTTACACACTTTGGACATGCACGTTTCTCCGTGGGTAATGCTACTGTTAATGTTGACATGGTGATTTTCACAAGTACATCAGCTTTTACATTCACACAATTATTCACAACTAAGTATAGGTACTCAATTTTTACTAACACCCGGAGCTCAATAACCCCCTCCCCAATTCTTGAATCCCCAACAATCCTTAAATTCCTAATCCCCAAAAGGCCGGTAATGCATTTGTAATAACACCTTTTGTGTTTTGTGTTCATAGACGGCGGCGCTGATTGCTTACCGGCTTAACACAAAAAAAACAACAGTCCGACTTGAAATAAAAATCCAACCTATTTAATGATTAAAAAACATAAATAAAATAAAATCTCGCCTCATTACGTCCATATACTCTGATAAGTAACTCTTTATCTCAATATAATGTCGCAAGATAGTAGTGACAATTTTAAAATTGGGAGGGTAGAGGGAAGAAATGACTTCCTCCTACCGTGCCAAATTGCAACGTTCAACGTCAAACTGTCTTTTAGGAAATAGTTGTGTGGCATACATGCTGAGAGGATTTTTAGTGTTATCTTTTTATTGGTAAGAAACGGGTGATTCGTTTTTTTAAACGGGAATTTTAAACACTATTTAATATGACATACAGTTAACAGGTTTTAAGGACAGGACTTATTCGCACGGAGCGTTTCGCATCAAGCGGAAAATATTCGAATTCATGACGCCTGAAAACTCTTGCAAAGAAAGGTATTTTTTTTAAGTGGGGAAATACATCGAATGTCTTCTCCCGCCTGGGTGAAACGGGAGGAAGTATCAGACTCTTACTGACTAAAAACCACCCCGTTCCTACTCATGTACTTCGAACCGGAGTCCCGGTAACCCGTTAGGTTTTCCGCGGCTCCGTATCGGCATCAGCCCTACTGGGTCCGTGGTGGTCTGATGGCTCTTTGAGGCGCACGTGGGACGCGCAGGTTCGCGTCGGGCAGCGAGCCACCCATGCTCGCTGTCCGCAGGCCCGCGCTTACGGTGGCCGGAGATCGTCTCGCGATCCCCGACGCCCGGAGTGTCCTTCGCGATGGCTGGGTTGCGAGGAGACAGCGCTTCGCTGCCTATAGTTTGTCTTTATACACTGTTGCCTTTTAAACTAACGCAAATTCATTTTTTGTTCCAGATTAACCATGTGGTCAGCGAAGAAGTGTTCTGACAACAACGCCAGCACTCCCTCAGCGGAGGAGGAGATCAAGGTGGTGCTGGTGGGCGACACCCAGTGCGGGAAGACCTCACTCGTCCAGAGGTTCGTCTCTGACACCTTTATTGAGGTAAGTGATCATATTGATATAAATTCTACGTATGTTTTTCGAATGTACACGTAAGTAGACTTAAAGTATTATAAAGTTGTGTTAATTCATTTTTAAACGACTTCAATGATAGGAGGTTCTCACTTTGACCTTTATGTATATATAAATTTGTGCGCGAATATCTTGTGATTGGCTTGAACCATTTGTGATCGAAAGGTAAACGGTTTTAGTACATACATATATTAAGCAATGGACCTCAATATAAGAAGTGTTTGAAGTCGATTTTTTAAACGCAGTTTATTAAAGAATTATTGTTAGTAACTTTAGGGTTTACTATTGAATATATAGGTATTACGCATAAATGGTGTAATTACGTAATTTATGTATAAAAGCAGAAAAGTTTTGTCAAACGAACCTATAAATGTTTCGTAATTTACGGTGCCCAAAAGACTAGCAGCATGCATTATGCTTTCGAGCTGTTTGGGGCTGAAACTTTAGGGCCGTGGGGCTCAAGTGTAGGTGCACGGCTTCTTTACAAAGATATTGTAAGGAGGATGGTTGACACTTCAGCTGATCGAAAGGCTGGCTACTACCTTGGGCAAAGGTTAAGTATTGCCCTTTAACGTGGCAATGCTGCCAGTCTTTTGGGCACCCTACCTCATGATTGCGATGAGAAGAACTTTATTGATGCCTTAAGCTAACCTGGACCGATTTTCATAATATGAATTCCTTTTCAGACCTTCTTACGTAATGTAAACACGAACATGTACTTTTTAACTTTAAGTTTCCGTCTAAATCATATCTCATACACCATTATTAATCAACAAATCAAAACATAACACAATGGTTAATTCAAAGGGTTAACGACCCCCAGCTTTGACACACACTTCACATCAGTGGAGCTTCAATTGAAGTGCTCTCACATCCACGATTGACATGTACACACGAATATTAATCAGATAATTATAATCAGGTATCTATCTACTTGGAATTCCGGGAGTTGGAAGTAGTAATTACAATTAATAATCACGTTTAACGCAAATCCAGTAATGCCATTGACAGTAATTTAATTAACATTAAACTATTTTGACAGTTCATGTTTGAGAGATTACCTGCTTTGTGAATTCTGAGGAAATTAAGGTGAGATGGTAGACACGGCCACACATCAATCTATACAAAACCAGTTTATCCTGGTATCGCGTCGCATCATCTTTCCGCATATTTAACGTTCAGTTTATACTGGTTATGTAAAGCTCGATGTGTAGCCGAGTGTACCTACAGTTTAGACTTATATAAGTATCTTCAATATACTCTTGGGAGCGACGAAACGGATCCACTAGCCTTTTTTTCATTTTATCGAACTTTGTGCCTTTTATGTGACATACATACATCAACAGCCTATAATTGCCCACTGCTGAGCAAAGCCTCTTCTCATTCGAAGAAGATTTGAGCATTCGCCACGCCTGCTCATTGCGGATTGGCGATTTCAAAACTTATAATTAGACATTTATAAGTTAAACTTTCCTTACGATGTTTTCCTTTACCGTTTGTCAGTTGTGTCTAAACAATCTTAGAAAGTACCTACATATAACTCGGAAAAAGACGCATTGATACTTGGCGTTGGTTAGTTTTGAACCGGCGGCGCCCTGATACACGAAAAGCGGTTTGCCCTCCGGGCCATCACGACATATTATGTTACCAATTAATAAAATACTTGTATCAGAAAAGATTTAGCAAGAAATGAAACAGAAAACGCGATAATGGCTCCCTTTGTTTGCTCCTATGTGTAGAATTGTTGCAAATATAACAGTTAACTAACTTCAAAACATTCAGTAATGGTCTCTTGGTATAAGTACCTGCTGACTGACTGTGCCATAATTTTAGGCTCCCTATCTATTTTATTACTGTCTTGTTAATAAAATCGTCTTACAGATACTTAAGTAGTGCAAATGCCGCATAGAAAACACATAACTGTCCTTTTTTTAAAGGGTGGATAATCATCCAATGACTTCTCCCGCCTTAGGATAGGCGAGAGGGAATGTCAGACTCTTACTGACTAAAAACCACCCCGTTCTTACTCCTGCTCTTCGAGCCGGATCCCCAGCAACCCGTTAAGTCCTACGCGGCTCCGTATCGGAATCAGCACTACTGGGCCCTGTCTGTGGTGGTCTGATGGCTCTTTAAGGCGCGCGCGGGAATTTAAATTCTTAGCAGTTACATGGTTTAGTAGTATTGAATAAATCATGTAGGTAAGCATATTAAGGCGTAGGATAAGATTAAATATGCAAATTCTCAAATATCTCGCTCCAGGAAGTAATCGTGTCTCAGTTAACCACCATAATTAGGTACATGATAACACACGACAGTCACAGATTAAATTTCACGCGCGCTAATTCCCATCAGTCGAATGACAGTTTTGACTGACGCTTTGACGCTTCCCGCCAAAATTACGACGCGAAGTAAACATATTTTCGTTAAACAACGCAACGAGAGTTAGAGATGGAAATGTCATGGTAACAGGGAAATTACGTTTTTTGTCTTTATTTTTCTCTCTTTTTTTTCTTTTTTTGACGTTTGAATGATGTGTTCGTGGAGTATAGAAGTAAGGAGTACTCCATTCTTGTATTGAGAAGTCTACGTCAAATGTACTCGTGACGAGGTGCTCCTATCAATGGCAAAGGATTATAAAATCGCTTATGTAAGTAGGTATTTACTTTTTTACACTTTCTATTTGTTATTATGATATCTCCAATAACGTTTTACTGAAAGTTCATTCACTAAATTCATACATAATGAAAAAAAAATACGGGAAGTTATTTTAAGTGACAAACAGAGTAAGCTATGCTAGCTATAACTATGCCACAATAATACAGTATTGTTACATAGTCGCTCTTTCCTTCCTTCGTATATTTCCACGTAAGATTTAAATACTCCATATCTCTATACTCTATGGTCGAAACGATGAAATGAAAGCAAATGTCAGTGACTTGTCAATGTCAAGTGGTATTTGACATCAATAAATCTTTTCGTATTGTTTTTTCGAGTGTATTTTCGTCAATAAACTGTCAGTCAATGGTCGGTATTTGTTTTTCTCTATTTGATATTAAGTTTCGGTGAACTGTCGATGTTATTGAGTTGTGGTTTGATGTATGAAAATTTGTTATTTATAGGTTTGTAAAGATTTTTTTGTATGAGCTCATTGTATATGATATTTGATGTTATTAATAATGAATACTTAATAAGAATTTAAATACTTTAGTCAAACAGACCAGTTTTCCGCTATTTACTCAAAAAAAAGAAGTGATATAAGAAAAAATAAGCATGTCATTGGCACACTAACTCGTTGGCCGAGTGGTCGCAAGTGCGACTGTCGGGCTTGGGGTCCCGGGTTCGATTCCCTGGTCGGGCAAAGTATAACTGGGTTTTTAAAAAATTCTCAGTATTAGCACGTAGTCTTGAATTGTGCCCGGTACATGGTATTAGGCTCACCCCCTATTACATGGGACTTATAACATAAATATGTCGGCAAAGAGTTCTTTTAATTTGGCCCCTCTTTATTTATCGTTAATGTGATCGACCTATTACTTAAGTCAAAAAAGGCAAAAATCATTTATTTCATTTAGACCAAAAAGGCACTTGCACTTGTCAAAACAAAATATTTAAATATTAAAAAACAAAATGGCAGTCTATCGGTCAGTCCTCTAGTAAAGCAATTTACTCTTCTTATTACTTCAGAAATTAAAAAGCGTAACGCTATGCTACATTAATAAAATAAAGAATAAAGAGAAATATCAGAACAGGTTCTGATATTTCAACGTGAGAAAACGAAAAGGAAACAGTTGTAGTTAGCATAATCCTAAAACAACATCCTGTATAGTTACCCCTTTCGGGGTGTATAAGTAGTCATAAGAATGGATTGCTATAGCACAACATCTTAATTGACTTCGGGAATAATTTGAATAAACAAAGTAATAAGTATACAATATACAGCACTTATGAACAAACGACTAGTAAATAAATTAGTACATGTAAGTATTCTACATAATAGGGATGATGACAGGGTATGAAAATTAAAAATATAATTAGTCCGTCAGTTAGGTAATGAAGAAATCCCGAGGGAGTTTCTGGTCTCCTATCGGGCGTGTCCCCAGGTGGCGGATAGGGGAATGCCGCGCAGATATGCGCGGTACCGGTATTAATCTGGCACGGACCAAAACCAGACGGGGTATCGCTCCCCATAGCGGGGACGCGATTCAGTGCGGCGTTGTTGGCTAGTCTTTTGGGGCTAGTCATTGTGACTCTTGTCACCGTCGGACAATCCGTAATCCTCATTGAGAGAGACGGAGACTCAGCTTTGTCCAAGTGGTAGGTTGGGTTATGAGGACGAAAACCTCTATAAAAAATTACTGAGTCGTGCGGATTTATTGCACGTACTTACTAAAGTACACTGCATTTAGATCTGGCACTTACTCAAGGGGCGACGGGTCTACTTATGTCACGGCATTAGTGGACAGGTTTGACACAGATCACCGTTCGGCCCGAACGTCGAGCCAGTGCGGGCGCACTGGTCCGGCGGATATTTGTTCTTCTTCGGAGGTGCAAATGCGACGGGTCTCGCTAAGCCAGGGTGGCTGGATAGCGGGACGGAGGCATGTCTAATGCTGACGTCGTCGGGACTTGGCTTAATTGTCCGGTCCCTATCCCTACAACCTAAGCTCAGAAGTGTGGTGAGGGGTGAATGGTCGGTTGGGGAAAAAACCAGGCCGCGAGCACTTCAACCTCCGGGCACCTGCCGCACCCGGTTGTATGTAGGCTTATCTGAGTATAAGGCTCTGCTCAGATGGACTTTTATTTCCTTACTACTCGTGGGAACTGCATGGAAGATTTTAAAAATAATAACAATAAAAATTACGTAGAGAAGGAGAGAGTGGAGGAGCTTGCCATGGTGTCAGATGCTGACACTTTGGCTTCTATAGAATCAGTGGAGATGGATGAGAGTCGCCCCGATATTTCGAGGTGGC